GAATCTTCATTACGTAAGTAAAACATACAAAACCCTAAATTGTATATTATTGTTCATATATGTAGGGTGATTAAATTAGGTTTTGCAAAATCTTTTTAGTTTTGTCGATTTAGGTCATTGATGATTTTTCTACTTTTCTTAGTTTTTCGAATCAAACAAACAACTTGATTTCATTGGTATGCAGTTTCAATTTTTTTATTTTTATTATAGCAATTTCGTTTCCGCTGAGTATTAATCCTATCCATGGTATCACCTTTTTTTTTAAATCAAACTTTTTTTGTTATTTATTAGGGTTCATTTTTTAAAAAATGAAACAGGAGAATTCATCCAAGGCATTGCAGGGAGAGAGATGGAGGTTACAGTATTTTCATGTTTTTTTTTTCATATTTTTTTTATTTTTTTACGCTATGTTCAAAGTTTGATTATTGTTTTTTTTCAATTTTATCCTATTAGATATTAATTTTTAATTTAGATTAGTGTCTTCTTTATTAGTTATATCCACATCATCATCCAAGTCATTTAATTTTAAAACTCTCCACATCACTCTCAATTTAGACCGTTGAATGTTATAAAATCTAAAGGCGCGGCTAAGGAAATGTAAAAATGTTTGTCAAAATATTTGTCCCTTTTTAGCACATGTCGTACTTTCCCATTTGTTTTCTTATATATCCTAATGTTTTGATTGAAATTTAACAAATCATCTACGCTAGCAGCTCTCTTTTTCAAAATTTTGTAGTAACCAAATGGAAACCTCTACAGAGAAAAATCTGAAAGAAAAAATTGATTTTTCAAAAGCCACTTAAATAAGTGACGAGCCTCAAGAACAGTGAAGCAGAAAATTAAGTCATGAGAAAGAGAGCATGTCATTCAGTCTAGTGTACATAGCCTTTCAATGTAAAGTTAGTAGAATAAAGATACAAACTGAAAGACTAATGAAAGTGAGGAGTTTTTGAAACTGTATATAGTTTGGACTTAGAAGTCTGTCATTTTTGTTCTACATAAGCTCTTAATGTAAAGTCAGTAAAATATAGACATAAAGTGAAAGACTGTCAATGCGGGCAATTTTTGAAATGTATAGGCCCTTTTGGTTGTACATAGGCTCTTAATATATATTCTACTCTTTCAATAATGAACAAAACTATTATCAAATAATGTTTCCAGCTAATCATGTATCATAACGGTTTTAAAACCTGCAACACCGCGCGAGTATTCTAGCTAGTCTAATCTAAATTACAAGAAGAAAACTCTAAAGTTGAGTGCAAATCAGAAACACACTGCCTTGCTTTAGTCAATTTTGCTAAACATAATGTTCCATAGTAGGTCGACAATTGAGTGTGATTCCAATAATATATAGTATAAGGAAGAGAAGGGAAAAAGGAAACTAGATCGTTGAGTTGTGAGTTGTTTACATTTTGGCAGAGAGAGGTATGGTTGAGGCTGCTGTACCCTATGCGGTGCAAATCTTGGGAGGATTTATAGTTCAGGAAGGGAGATTCTGGTGCATAATCAGCGATAAAGTGAAGATTTCACAAAATCAACTACAGTTACTGCGGGGCTTCCTAGGAGAAGCAGATGCAAGACAACAAGACGTGGAAACAGTTCGCATTTGGGTTGCAGAAATTAGAAATGCCGCTTCACAGATTTCTACCTCGTATTTGATTGTGATTTGATCATGGTATTAAGATAATTCCATGAGCAGAATTTTTCTACTTTCATTCAGTTTTTGAGTGCTTTAAGCAAACTTGGTGGCCAGGATGAAGATGTCAAACCTGCATTCATTGCTTGGTGTACAAGAAAAGGGAGTATGCAGAGATTCTCCTTGAGTTGCTCCAAGTTGCTCGTCCGAAAGGAATTGAAAGGAAACGGAATCTACTTTACGCATCTCTGCTGTTTGGATTGATGGCCTTTCAGATGAAGAATTTAGTGGAGGAATCGAAACAACTCTCTTGGAAGGTTGCAGATTGCCGTTTCTGTATCATGTTAGTGCAAGAAACACAAGGATTGTTAAGCCTACTTTGGTGAGGTTGTGGGCATTTCAGACAAGATGAACTTGGCTGAAGGTTTCGACGGTGATGTTACAGTCGACTAATTCGAGGAAATAGAATCACGGCCTCACAGAGGCCCTAGCATTTGAGTTTTCCTTTCCCTTTTCGACGCCATTCAATGGTTGTTTCGGGTTAATAAGATGTAGTAGTTTGCAATTCCCTCATCAATTCGGTGTTCTTGAGCATTATTTGGTTGTTTGTCGATGTGGGATTCCTCACTCACAGCAATTCCGCCCATTTGTTTTTGTTTTGTAGTAGCCTTGGTAATAATTTTCAACTATCGATCAATTACAGCTCTTATTTTTAATTGGTTTGACTATGGAATATTTCAGTTGCTCTATTGGTTTGCTTGATTTTTATTATCCTTTTGTGCTGCGTCTTTCTTTTCGTTATAGTTGTACAAGAGATGAGAATGGGCTGCAATTACATAAGCCTCGATAAAAATATGGCCCGGAATTTCAACCCGGTTGAAAGGGAAATGAGCGTCCCGCATAGACATCACCATTTTCTTTTTTATGCTTTGAAACTAGTGAGTTATCCTATCCAAGCAATCATCTCTAACAAATGCGTACTTGATTCTCATTTTTTATTTTGGAGTAATATCATTCATCACTAAAAGTGCCTCCATTTATTGTCACTAACATTATAATCTCGTGTCATTAATTTCTATTTGTTGTATAGAATGGTAGAGCCCCTAATTGCCGTTACTAAATTGAGACGGGTATTTTGTTCTCTTGTATTTTGGTGAGGAAAATGAAAGTTCAGTTTCTTAAGATCATCATCAACAAACAAAGATAACGACTTTTTATTTTTCATGAAACAAAGAGACATTCTGTTTGGTTGATGAGAAAATCAACTGTACAGTGACATCTGGTTTTGATCATTGGTATCGTATCACAGGTGCCTGAAATTAGGAGCTATGTTAGCGTCAATTGTTTAACGATGGGCCTCCTAACAATCAATTATTCACGACCGTCCATGCCCGCACGAATGACAGAACTTAGCTAAATCCAACCAATGTCAATTCAAGAAAATCCATATTGGAGCCAAATGACTGACTGGATTTTTTAAATTACTTAGGCTTTGCTGATGTAAAGGGATCCTCTCCTGATCTCTTCCTCCTATTCCACCAAGTTCGGAGATCTAGACCACTGAAATTTGATCCAACGGCTACAAATAGAGGCCCACTTTAAAAGTTATAATAACTTTAGCCATTTGATTAAATTTCAATGGTCCGGATCCCCAGACTTGGTGGATTAGGAGGAAGGGATCCGGAGAGGATCCCTTTCCTTGCTGACAAGTTAAATCAGGCACACACACCCAACACAATTTCTCAAAAGTGTCCAAAATTCAGGCACATCAAATAATTGAACTGTTAAAAGAGGACGGCCCCTCTCCAAAGAACATATAATGAAAGGCAATAAACGTCTAAATATGCAAAACAAACTAACAACACATATAAACATATGTCGAATCGGCATGGACGAAAACTCATTACCCTTTGAAGCTTATTGTTCCGTTCAACACGTCAAATGATCCGAGACAGGAAGGAAGACAACTATACGCTTTGACGCTTTCCCACTCTTTCCCACTTGTTCCTTTCTGCATGCTCTGCCAAAACTTGATAATTTTTTCTTACCCAACACGTGTTATGCTACCGCACTTTCAATCTGGACTTTATTAGACGGTTTCTTGTTGAATGTATGCTACAGATTAACGGTGTTGATAACATAACATGCCAGATATCTGAGAAAAGAATATTACCCCTTCTCGAACTTCTTTCAAAATAATCTTAATGACTCAGTACTCCTGCAACTTATTAGCCATCCAAGACACAAACTACTAGTTTATAATAGAATGCAATCTTTCCCAAGCATGTAAAGACAGTTTAACGAAGAGCCAAGCGTATTCTTGCCGTCTTCTGGAACTAAAATTGGCAGAAATTGAGATTGATCACAACAAATAAATGAATTGTAATGAAAAGCAAATCAAACGGTTTTCTGACAGAGCACTGCTGTTACACATTCTACTTATGCACACATTCTTCTTACCCTACTTGCATTCCGGAAAAGTCCAACCATGTTACTGAAATTGAAAAAAAAAATGTCCAACCCTGTATTTGGACTATGGAATTACCATCTTTGCCATAACTCACTTACTAAAACAAAGACAACATACAGTTTATCAAAACTATATCATGCACAAATAAGGAAATGTGGATAAAAAAAAGATGAAAGAGTTACTTGAGGTTGTTTTAAGTTTTAACATACGTAAAATGCCAAACGGGACTTCCAAAATCAGCCAAAGGAGGAAAAAGAAGAAAGGGAAAGTCTGTAACAAAAGAAATTGACAATAGAAGAAAGATATATAAACAAATGAATAGAAGTTTTCACTTTCCACTTTTTTATGTACTTCTACATTCATCGTCTTTCAACAAAAGAAGAAAACCAAAAGGTTAATAAGAACCCTAAACGAGAGATAACCAAATGATAGAGAGATTCAAATCTAACTCAGAGTAACAATTAAAAGTTCTTTGGCTAACTAATGTCATTTCCAAGGAATACAGTAAATGAGCACCCAAATTCGTGATATAGAGTATAACGCTTAGCAGAACATATAATTTTAGCACCCCAAATATCATGTGTATTATTGACAATATAAACCAGAAAGTAAAGGAAAACTGAAATGCAAACCTGATATGCAAGAATGATCTGTCATTAACTCTAAGCACTAAAAGGGGGAGCAGGATTAGCCTTGCAGTTGCGCTACATGACGTACTTAAGCTTGTTCTAAAGGTCAGAGTGCAGGGCGACAAAGTCAGCTGCAAAATTAACCATAAAACTGCAGCATAGGAATCGATGGACATCAATTACAGACATTAATTACAAAAAATACAATTTATGAAAAACAAATAACATATTGCACAAAAATATTGGGATTCACTTCATACAGTAGTTAGGATCCAAACTATTGTGCGCTATTTTATTGATTGCTTGGCAATGATATACGTTCACCAATTAGCATATGCTCTATCAGTCATGAATTCTACAACGCCATAGCTCCAACAATTACATTCCAACAAAAAAAGAAAGAGATGGTCCTCAATTTCGCTCAATACAGCATGGAAGTGCTTGGAAGACAATCTCTCACAACCACAGAACTTCTTCACCATAGTTCACAAGGTTCCTCCTCATATGGCATTACATCATAATGATATATAGAAAAACAAAACAGGCACTGACAGAAACGTTAAAAACAATCATAATATTATATTCAACAAGAATTCAAAGGGGTCTACCGCACAATCAAAAGAATTTTATCATCCAGAGGCTTTCTTCCCACCAGAATAGTAACTGAGGTACCACCGTACGAATTTCTTCAGCCCTGTCTGCAGATCCGTTGTGGGCTTATATCCAAGTTCCCTCTGAGCCAAACTGATGTTTGCGTGTGTAAACTGAACATCCCCATTACGTGGCAACTTTGTTATCTTTCTCTTAGCCTTCACCTTCAAAAGTCTCTCCAAAATGGTCACAAGATCCGTAACTGGAACAGGCGATGTATTCCCCAAATTGAAAACCCGCAATTGGGCAGGCCCCTTCTTCTTTCCCCCACTCCCAGTACTCTTCTCGGCGGTATCTAATGATGCCAAGCATCCCTTCACAATATCATCAATGTAGGTAAAATCCCTTGCAACCGTTCTATGATTAGCCCCCTCAAAGATTGGAATGGTCTTACCCTTCAATATATCCCTTGTGAAAAAGAAGTACGCCATATCAGGCCTTCCCCATGGGCCATAAACAGTAAAGAACCGTAACCCGGTAAGGGAAAGGCCATGGATATGGTTGTAAGTGTGTGCAATTTCCTCACCGGCTTTCTTGGTGGCGGCATAAAGACTAGCCGGCTGGTCAGTCCGGTCTCTTTCCGAAAAGGGTACCTTAGTATTTAATCCATAAACAGAACTAGAACTTGCCCAAACAATTGCAGGTTGTGGATTTGCATTTTTACAAACTTCAAGAAGATTAACAAGACCAGCTATATTACTATGAACATATGAGCCTGGGTTTTCCATGGCATACCTCACACCAGCTTGGGCAGCCAAATGCATCACATGGGTGAACGCCACCACCTCGAAGAGCTTGCTCAGCAAAGGGGCGTCGTTTATGTCGCCTTCCACAATGAACACCCCACTCCGCTCCAAAAGCGCCTGCCGAGCCCTCTTCAACGAAGGGTCGTAGTAGTCATTGAAGCAGTCCAGACCAAGGACCCCATCACCGCGGCGTTTGAGCGCCGCCGACACGTGGGTCCCGACGAAGCCAGCAGCACCGGTGACGAGGACGGAGATTCCGTGGCGGGACCGGACTTTGGCGGAGGACCTGACCCGTTTTTCCCAGGCGGGTCCGCCCCAATTGTAGGTTCTGAGAGAGCGGCGCGAGGGATCGGACGGCAGAGAATTGGAGGATGGCGAGCGAAAGAAGAAGATCAAGATCAAGCCGAGGAAAACAAAGGACCAGAATGTGAGCTTAGCGAGAGAGCCGTGCAAGCGGAGGCGGTGAATGTAGGGCGACTTGTCCATCTTGAACTTGCCAGGCGTCGGCGGACTGTTGTCAAGGTGGGACATTTGCTTGAGCTGGGTCACCTTCAATGGCGAATGTGAGCAAAACCCAGGTCTCGGATTGCTGAATTTCGGGCGGAAAGCTTGGATTGGGGTCTGGTTTAGGGTTTGACGAACTGGGTTCCTCGAGATTTCCTCAGAAAACGGCGGTGGCGGCGCCGGCAGTGGTGGCAGTGGTTGCAGAAAAGAACAAGTGAGCTACTCTTACCTCTTTTCCATGGTCTGATTAGGTAATGGTTAGGACCTTTGGGCCACCATAGGTTACTAGTATTTATTAGGCCCACTGCTAATGTTAAGCCCACTAACACCACTAAACCCTAGCTATAAAGTTGAAAGCTTTTGATTTGGGTTAATGGTTTGGGATTAATCACTGTTTAGAGAGAAGGAGAGGAAGTAGAGGAGAGAGATTGATGGAGATGAGAGGACAAAGAACTGCAATATTTAATGGAGATCAAACAAGACAAAAAAAAAAAAAAAAAAAAAACTGTTTAAACTTGATTAAAATCTGTTAATCTGATGGTGGTTTTCTGCAAAGATAGCTGGTTTTGGTTTCTTTTTTTTTTTTTTTTTCTTTTTGTCAACTATAAATTTGTTAGATTAGAAGTTAAATTAAGGAGTCGACGGGATTCGAAAAACCCACACCGTGGTACAAGAAATTAAAAAAAAAAAAAGTAACTGGTTTTTAGTTTTTTCTCCTTGTTGAAATAAATTCCCTTCAAAAACATCCTATGAAAAAAATAAGGATTAAGTACCTAAAAGTCAAAACTATATTTATGGGTAAAAAAATTAAAATATGTGAGAAATGTGGGGATGGGGAATTGCAATTTTTTCATAGACTAATCTGCAATTAATCACTACAATAATTAAATTATGCAGGGATGCCCCTTAATTAATGACCATGTAGGATCATGGGTGTTTCTTATTCTAGTTTCTCCACGTTGGACTATTTCAATTTCTTCATATATCTTCAAAGGGTTCACTCCAACTATATTATTTATTCAATTATTAATTATTTAATCTCGAGTACAGGTCACTCATTATTATTGTCTGATGGTATTTATATTTACTTCTATGTGAGAGGTATTAGGTTCGAACCTCGTGGATAATGAATTCAATATCAAATTGGATTGATCATTGTGTAGCTTAGTCGAACTCTCCTTCCTATAAAATATATCATTATACTCGAAAAAATATATAAAAAATAAAAAATTCTCAAGTCTCAAGTACAAAATTGTAAGGTCTAAAATTTAGACAACTCTCATAAGAGGTGTCTCCAAAATCTAAGACCATCTCCAATGAAGATGTCAAATTTTATTTTTATAGCTCTAGTGGCAAAATAATATTTTGTAAAGTTTCCCATTCCAACCGAGATGTCAATTAAAATACTCCTCAAAACGTTTTTTTTTTTTTTTTTTATGTAAAAGTTTTTTTTTTTTGGTCAAATTATATGTAAAAACTTTAGAGTACGGAATTTAATTTTTATAGTGTTAATAACAATTTCAAAATTAATTTCATGTATTATATATAGTTTAAGTAAACTTGTAGCCTAATGGACAAGTGAGGCGATATTTATATCACATACCAAAATTTGTCCTAAGAGAGAAAGCAATGTGGTGAGTGGTCACATTGTTTTAGCTTCTAGATACCTTTGATCAAGTCATTAACCAAAAACAAAATAAATAAAACCCAATCTATTTTTCATTAAGATATACAAAAATAAATAAACATAGAAAATTAACAAAGAAATTCATAGAAAATAGTATAACTCGATTACAAGTGTCCAACACTTTAAAGTATTTTATATGAATTCATAATTATGTTGCGCCATGTAAATACATAATGATTGTAATTTGTATTTCAAACTAGTCTTTACATATTTCTTTAAATTTTCCATTTTGTGTTATGTGGTAGGTGAGCTTACAATTCCATCATAACCACACACTATTTTATGCAATTCAGATTGATTGTAATTTGTTTAGACTGTCGTTTGCTCGTAAATACAAAGAAAGAGACACTCTCTCAAATGTGGCTAGTACTAGTAATGGTAGGATTGCTTGAAATGAAGGCCAAAAACATCATTCGAAGAAGTGTTATTGGTATCTTACAGTGCAATTTATGGCAGGCTAAGGCTAGCAGCATCATGTGGGTTGGCGTAATAGTGTCATGTGAAAGTTAACATCATTGCAGGATACAAACCCGAACTGCATTACTTGATCCAAAAAGCTCATTGTCCCTTCAACCCAAAATGAAGAAATCACACCTATGTTTGTGCCCCACCTTTCATACAACATACCTTTCATTTATGATAACAACTACTTTGGTCTTTCCAACCCCTTTTTATCTGCCTTCTCTCTTGGCCATTGCCACTAGGGAACATGTAAAGAATAAACTTTGAGAACAACTTAGGTGGGAACTCCTTTATCATGTGACAAAATAAGTGGCGGACATTGTTCAGTTAAAACACAACTTATTTTACTTATGATTTAGTTAAGTTCTTTAACATGTGTTATGCTAACTGGACAACGTTCGCTACTCATCTTGCATAGTTAGTGATTTGATTATAAACCGTAGCTCAGCATACAGATACCAAGAACACTGCATTTTGTACATCATTGCAAACGTAAGAAGAAAATAAATTTCTCAGTTATCAATCACCATCTCCATGTGAATCTCATACAAAATAATACAGGGTTAACACGTGTTGTTAGTCCTTTTTATTTGAATAAGCTGGCATCATGTTGCATGCCCTCCAAGTTAATCTAAGTAGCTGGACATGGACATGGACACGTCACTAAATCTACCCCCAACTTGTTGTTTACTATTATAGCTCGTTTACGTAATCGTAATTAAAATTGGAGAAATTAGATTGAGGAAAAATTGAATTGATGAGGAATTGGATTAAAGAAAATCAAAATCTAGATTTCCATAGAAGCTGTTTACTAAAATGTTCTGGAATCGAAATAAATATGACAGTGAATCCATTAAACTGTTTACTAATTCAATCGAATCAGAGTACAAAACATTACAACTACCAAAATGCTCATGTCACAAATCAAATATTTTATGATGATTTCTTTTAACAAAATTTTATATAATATAATAGTAAATAAAAAAAAGTGATTTATCTATGGCTGTAGAAGACTACAACCGCATTTCCTTCTTTGGTTCCCTTCCTCTCCCTGTTACGTCCATCCTTTGATTTCTTTTTTTTTTTCCTTTTTTTCATCTCCTCCTTCCTTTGATTTCTTTTTTTTTTTTTTTTTTTTTTCCTTTTTTCATCTCCTCTTTCCTCTCTCTGTTTCTTGCTCTTTCGTCGGTGCGAGTTAGATTTCAGGGAAATCTTGGTGTGGGTTAGAACGTCAGATTCAGGAATAGTTTGTCAGAACCTCGGATTCCTGCAACGGTGAAGAACATATGAGCTTCTGACGGCAGCTTCAAAGTTCAATCTGGTATGGTGCATGTGCAGATGGAAGGGTCCGGGTGCTGAAGTTGTAAGGGAGTCAGCGAGAGAGAAAAACAGATGGAGGGCTGGGCGCTGAAGTATTTTAAAGGTATTTTGGGTAGGAAAGTATGATTCCAGATGGAGGCTTTCACCCGAAGTAGGATTACCACCTCCATCTCAGTAATCCAATTTCTCCAAATTCTGAAATTGAATTCCTATTTTCTAGTAGACCCCACCATATTTTCATTCCCAAAATGTTGAGTAAACACTGGAATCATTTCAATCGGGAATGATTCCCTTTCATTTCATCTCAACTTTGGTTGCCAAACACACCATTAAAGTATATTGCAACCATGCCCTACCCAGGATCCAGGGCGGTGCTCCTAAGTCGGAAAGGGTCCTCTCCGAATCCCTTCCATCAAATCCATCAATTTGAACCTTTGAAATTTGATCTAATAGCTAAAAACAAGGCCCTTTTAAAAGTTATAATAACTTTAACTGTTGGATCAAATTCAAGGGCACGGATTGAAAGATTTGGTAGATCTGATGGAAGAAATCCGGAGAGAATCTCTTTTCCTCCTACAAACCTATGTACTATGTAGGGCCAAACGAAAAAGTGCTTTTGGGTGGACTATTAGTTGAGTTTCCCTAAAACATATCTGATGGCATTTGTCCTATAAAAAGGGGAAAGATATCATCTCTAGATTCCTTCCTCAAATCCATCAAGTCAAGCAATCAGAGTTTTTGAAATTTGATCTAACGGCTAAAAACATGAGTCCTCTTTAAAAGTTATAATAACTTTAGCCGTTGGATCAAATTTTGAGAGCCCAGATTTGACTTTATGGATTTTGTGGAAGGGATCCAGAGAGAATCCCTTTGCATAAAAAGGTACCTAAAAAAAGGATTTGTAAAACGAGTTTAGCTGATTAAGAATATTCGTTCCTATCTTCAAGAGTCAAATATGAGTCTTTGTTTCCACTAGTGTCACTTGTACAAAAAGAAGAAAGGATAGTTTGCAGGTTGTGAGGAGCTTATAGCTAAATTAGTTAAAATATTCAACTATGCACTTAAGAGTCAAAACACAAGAGTTTGTTTCTTTAGTGTGCCTAGGGATGGGCAACGGTTATGGCGGGCGGATAATCAATGTTATTTACCCATAACCATTTATATTCATACCCGCATAACCGTTTACCCATTGGGTAATTGCATAAACGGTTATACCCATACTCATAACAGTTTATAAACGGTTAACCATACCCATAACTCTGTACCCATTTAATCATAACCGTTTACCCATTTAACCATAACCATTTATCTTTTTGAACCCGTTTATCCTTTTTTTTACCCATTTACCCCTTTTTTGAATTTGTCATAATTTTTGTTTTCTTACAATTAAACATCATTATATGCACATTTTAAAATGCATCGAGATGCCTAATTTAGTATCTTAGCTAATGCTAAATGAGAGAGAGGCGCTTGGTCCTCTGCTGCTGAGTTGTCTTTGGCCTGAAATGGAACACACTCAAACTCAGATAACAAAACAAAATGGAAATTGTCAAGGCAATATAAATTGTCCATGTAAATGGGAACCATGCGACATTATTTGAACCAGGTAATCTAAGAGTTTAAGAAAGCACAGTATACAAAAGCACATCCATGATATAAATGCTCCATGTTTCAGAATATTTGTTCCTCGGGTAATGAGCGAAACATAGTCCTTCAAAGTTATTATAATACTTGTCCGCTAAAATTAGAATAATCGAAGCGGAGATTTTGATTCATGAGTTCTTGATTAATATTCTTTTTTACACGAAACAAACTTTTATTAATGAAAAAAAATAGTACAACAAAGGTGAACCAAGTCGTCGAGGAGAGATAGATGAGCGGCGGAGATGAGAGAGAGGGCAGCGAGGAGGGAGAGATGAGCAGGGACGGAGCGTTTGAGACTTTGAGTCTAGATGAGAGATTGAAAATTTAGTGTTTTTAATTTTACATATATTAAATTAAATGGGTAAATAGATATCCGTTATAACCGCGGGTAATACCCTGATGAATACTCGTTATAACCGCAAGTAATACCCATAACCGCCCATTTAAATTTCACGGATAAACGGTTATATCCATAACCGTTTGTTCGTCTAAACGGTTACCCATATCCGTAACCGAATGGGCGGATAACCGCAGTTACCCAAACCCATGAGTATTTTGCCCATCCCTAGTTTGTCTGTATAATATAAAATAAATAAAGAAAGGCTGGTTTGCAAATTGTAAGGAGCTTGTATTGTAACTTAATTGTTTAAAAGCATTCATTCATATGCTCGGGACTCAAACACAAAAGACTCAACTTTCCCTATTGTCTCTTGTATCAAAAAAGAAAAGGGTAGTTTGTAGACTATAAGGAGCTTGTAGCTCAACTGATTAAGAACATTCATTCATACACCCAAAAGTTGCACACAAGACTGCCACACTATTGCTTTTCTGGAAAAAAAGAAAAAAAAAAAAAAGGTGCAGATCCAAGAACCAAATTGATATTCATTATTTTTGAGGCATTGAGGCAGAATAAGATACAATCCTAGAAACACTAATGAGCTCAACTTAAAAATGTAGACATCCAAAACTACGTGTGCACTGCATTGTTCAATGGTTCGTAGACTTCCCAAGGAACTTGAAAGTATCAGGGAACATCTCCACAGGCAGCAAGGGAAAATGTCAGGCCCATTCCGTGGTCATTGTACATGTCCAGTGCAGTGGCATTTAGTTTTTCCGGTGTGATCGTGCAGTAATCTGAACCTTCTTCAACTGTTGCTCCCAGCTGAAATTTTCACGTCCGAAAATGTTAGAGAAAAGGTATAGGAATATCAAGTGCGAGGAAAATCGCTAGATAAGAGTCTTAAGCGTTCTAAGTTGTCTGTCTCCTTCACTCTTCAGCTTGCCACTGAAGAATACAAACTCAACAGGTCAAGGCAAGCCTTCTAGGGAAATTTTTCAAATGGCATTTCCGAACATACAGAATTTTGAAAAATCGCGACGCTTTGTTCTGATAACCAAAATATTAAAAGTTTAATCATATATAACAGTCAACAAAGGTTTCAACCGAGGTGCATCACGTTCACGGGTCATGTCTTTGCAAAAAGAAATAGAAACTGTTTTGGTGTAGTGCCAATGGAATGGAAACCTTAGATATACCATATAAATAATTGGACTAGACCATACCATCTCTTACCGACAGTTGATCCGTCGGTGAAAAGAGCAACTGCAGCGAGACTCATGTTGATGCGACGTCAATAGCTTTCAAGTGTTTTCAAGAACTGTCGTGGATAGAATGTCGTTGAGGTCCTGTAACGGTGACAATATTCTCTGTCCAGTTAACTTTAGCACCCATCTTTTCAAGAACTTCAGCAAACTTCACAGTGGTTCGTCTATATATTGAATAACACGTACTTTTGACCTCCTCGGACGAAAAGAAATCCAAACAACTGTCACCATGTTACGCTGTGACGCCAAAGCGTTTCATCACCTTCACAGTCATCTCCACAAAGGGACCAGAAACCAGTCTACCAATAATCTCAATTTCGAAGTTTCCAAGAGCCAAAGGAGCCACCATAAGCAAAGAACTGAAGAAGTCAAGCATACACTACTGATCAGAGAGCTTCACCTGTAAACAATATATAATAAGGTGTGGGTTGTGGATTAAACCGATGAAGTTTACTGAGACCGCAGGCCAAAATAGGAGTGCACGGCAGCAAGTTTTGTTGTATGGTTTTACATTTCCGTTTGATCAAAAAATTACCAAACAACAACTATTAACATAGAAGATAATGCAAACACAAAGTAGCCGGATATATGCTGCCCTTTTTTCGAGCACCGAAGGTCTTTGAAGGGTGATGGCTGCTGGTCAATCAGTGAGCAAAGCATCCGATTTGTTTCCTGTTTGTGTTTCCACATTAATTTTCAAAGCTTGTGTTTCTGTATATTTTAGCTTTCGGTATATTTTGGGCGTGTATCCGGGATTGCCATTGAGAAGGGTGGGAAAAGTGAGATTACTTAGATTTAGTGATCGGAAGAGACTATGTCGTCTCCTGTGCAATCTTGTTGGGACAGATATAACGATAATAGTATCCATCAAATGGGCTACAGAATCACACTTCTAGTTCAATACGGAACTCAGACAAACCTCGAATATCTGCCGGCAGCGGCAAGTACAGCAGTCAATGGCCGCACTGCTGTTCCAGCATTTCCAAAGAACAGTTGAACTTCATCTCTCGATTCATTTCCCAAATTTTTGTAAACATACCACAGAAAGAGAAGAAAGAAGCAGAATCCGATTGGACAACGACTAGGAACGGGGCAAATTTATAGTGCACGAGATTTCTCTGATGGGATGCAACACCATCTGTCACTGTTGACGGCTTCTCTGCTGTGGAAGCTGAAGCTCTAACCGAACGAACCATCCAACTCTCTCTGCGTTATCCTTGTGATTTCTGAACAGCCTAAACGTTGTTCAATTTCCAAATCTTCAGATTCGAAAATGCAAACACGGCATCATGTAAAGAAAGACTCTTCAACGGAAAATGCAGAACTGCGCTGAAAACTAGCATGTGATGCAATTCTTGGCACCAAATACTAAACGACAACAAAGCGAGCAAAATGGGGCAAATAAAGTAAACAAGTAGTCGTTCCATAAACATGTGTAGACTTTGGTCCAAAGAAAGGTACAAAAGAAGGTCCAAGAACCAAGTCATAAATCACTATTATTGAGTAGAAATCAGATCACAAACCTTAGAAACAACAATGAGCTCAACCTGCAAATATAAAATCATCCAAAATTACAGGGGAATAAAGAGAGATCTAAAAAGGGGCGGCTTCCATCTGCACTGCTTTGGTTGTAGAGGCACAAAGATATCCCTCCCTCTCTTCCTCTCTCTCTCTCTCTCTCTCTCTCTCTCTCTCTCTCTCTACAGATACACATCTTATAACTGTTGTTCAATGCTTGGTGAACCTCCCAAGGACTTCAAAGTAATTGGGGAATGTTTTTCGTGTACAACCAGGATCCTTGATAGTAACTGGAACGTCTCCACAGGCAGCAAGAGAGAAAGCCATGGCCATTCGGTGGTCATCATACGTGTCTATTGCTGTCACGTTTAATTTTTCTGGCGGTGTGATTATGCAGTAATCTGGTCCTTCTTCAACAGTTGCTCCCAGCTGGAGAATCGACTCCAACAAATGTTAGGGAAGCAAAATGCAGGTGTATGAATATCAAGTGTGAGGAAAGCCACTAAAAACTAACCTTTCTTAGTTCAGTGCAAATGGCAATCATCCTTTCCGTCTCCTTCACTCTCCAGCTTGCCACTGATCGATGAATAAGAACTCAAGAAGTCAAAGGCAGGTCTGAGAGAGTTTTCACAAGTAATTTTTTAATAACATGCAGTAGTTTAAGACCATAAGCACTATGTTCGGGTACGCAAAAAGATTAATCTTGAATGATGTATGTATCAACAAAGGCCTCAACCAGGAACATATTCATGCTCACTTCTAACAACTGTCACAAAAAAGATTTTTCTACCTTATTCTCACCGAAGGAGCCTCTATGTTTTAGCATGGATCCATTAACCAAGAGATTGATTTGTTACTTGTCTATTTATCAGTTCTAAACACCTATACGAACTCCACCCACCCTTTTCCTTTATTGTCTATTAACAACAAAAATATTATGCGCAAGTCATTCACAGCAAAAAGATTAGACCCCACCATCTCTTATGGCAGTTGGACCATCGGCAAAAAGAGCAACTACAGCAAGAGTCATGGCAACATCTGGCATTTTGTTCATGTTAACATCAACAGCTTTCAAGTGTTTGCCTCCGGAAGAGAGTCGTTGAGGTCCTGTAACTGTAACAGAATTCTCTGTCCAGGTAACTTTAGCACCCATCTTTTCAAGAACTTCAGCAAACTTTACATCTCCCTTGATCAAGAAAAAACCAAAAAGGTTGTAAGATGTCATATTTTCTCGAAGTTACTCTTTTTCAAAAACCATCCAAGCAACGCTACAACGGTTATAAATTTGTAACCAGTAATTAAGATTGGGAAAAAGTATTCCCCATCAATCTGAAAGTCTATCATTCATAAACTGGGAAGTGAACAGAATAAGAAAGATGTGGTCACAGAAAAATACCTGTAAACTGCTTGTCCCACAGCCTTCAACAGTGACAGTCCCACCGGTGACAGCAGCACCAGCTAGAAAGTAACTAGCACTTGAAGCATCGCCTTCGACAAATGCATTTCCAGGAGACCTAATACATATATTTATTCATTTTGTTACACACAATGCAATCATATTTCACGTAGTGGTTCAGCTATATATCAAATAAAACATACTTGTACTTTTGACCTCCTCGGATCAAAAACCGATCCCAGCTATCACTGTGTTCCACTGAGACCCCAAAGCGTTCCATCAACTTCAAAGTCATTTCCACATACGGAATGGAAATTAATTTATCAATGATCTCAATCTCAACATCTGCAAGAGCCAAAGGAGCTGCCATAAGCAAAGCAGTCAAGTACTGACTACTAATTGATCCAGAGAGCTTCACCTGAAAACAACAAATAAAGTGTGGATTCAATTGATCAAGTTCATCAGAACTGCATGCATTACACAACCACCATTAATGTACAAGACAATGCAAACCACACCTTCCCCCCTGGAAGGCCTCCCTTTCCAATCACACGGACAGGAGGGCAGTTTGTTCCAAGAAAACAATCAGCATCCGCACCAAGCTGCTTAAGACCATCAACCAAGTCTCCGATTGGTCTCTCCCTCATTCGAGGCACCCCATCAAGTACATACCTGAATCAGATTCAATATTACAGGAAAACCTTTTAAAGTACAATATCAGTTTGTGCTATAAAACCATATTTCAAGGTTACTAAAAACATTTAACATCAAAGATTTGGGTACTGCAGAATGTGGTGGAAACAAAAATGCATGGGATGGGGAAGGATTCACACTTCTAGTCAATATGGAAATCGGACAGACCTAGCATGTCCACCAGCAGCAACAACTGCAGCAGTCAATGGCCGCATTGCTGTTCCAGCATTTCCAAGGAATAGTTGCACTTCATCTACCGATTCATTACTCAAGGGAAACCGACCACCACAACCCTCCACGACTGCTCGCTTGTTTACCTTGTCCTCTTCAACATTCAGCCCAAGGGTTTTCAATGCACCAAGCATATAATGAATATCATCACTATCTAATAAGTTGTCAACAACAGTTGTTCCCTGAACAATAGCATAAAAACAATAGTTACTGGGTTGTTTTGCCATGCAAAGAAATCTCAAAAAACATGTATGAAGTGAAAGGAAGTCTAATCAATCACTCAACGGAATGATATATTTCATTCTCTTTAAAATGCGCCTTCGATAACATCATTCCAATAACTGAATTTCTTTGTAGAATTTGAATCCACCAAACAGATCCACATCTAATTAGTGAATCGAAAAACATTCACGATCTCATTCGATCTCCTCGAGTACATTTCAGATACCAAAGCGCTCAGTGTTTGCAATCGTTTTAGTCAATTTCGTTTTTGAGGTATAATTCTTTTCTACTCTGTAATCTAACAGAAAACTAAATCCTCGAAATCAAAAAAACCCAAGAACCAAAAACCACAAAAAACTCCCCAATTTGTTCCCCCAAACCTTTCAGCAACCAGCAACCAAACAAAGCTTACAAATCACAACTGCATTAATCACATAAAGCTTACATCAATCTTTACATACCTCAGAGAGAGCAGCAATAAGCAGAATCCGATTCGACAACGACTTGGAACCCGGCAACTTTATGTTGCCGGAGATTTCTTCGATGGGTTGCAGCACAATCTCCGGAACTGTCGACGGCTTCTCTGCCGCGGCAACTGAAGCTGCAATTCTAAGCGGATCGACCCTGACTTTACCAACCGTAAAACTGCCCACAGACCCATATTTCAGCTTCAAACTCAAAGAATTTGATGAACCCAGAAAATGTGACTTCAATGTGAGCAAATTGGAGGATTTGGGTATTTGTGGTTTGGAAACATTGGGAAAAACGTTGATGCTTTGAGCTCCATTGCTGCAGATTTTGCTCACTTGGGCCATCTCTCTTCTCTCTTCTCTCTTTAAAACCTCTCTTTAGTCTTTTGAGAGTTGTTATCTAAATTGGTGTCTCTTAAAATCGATGGAGGTTTGGCGGAAGGGAAAGTTGGGGGTTTTGGTGAGAATGGGCCTGAGTAGGGACTGAAGTACTCTCTCTCTAACAATTCACCAACCAATTTCTGACACCAGAAATTTAAAAGACAAAATTGAGAAAACTCGGAAAGGAGTGGTAGGTGGTGTCTTGTCTTTGCGCTTTGAAGGGTTGTACGTTGTGCTTTAAATGGCGTACTCTGCCTTTTTTATGGAGAAAAATGGGTTTTTGAAGTATTTTATTATTTTCTCATTTTTTAAAAAAGGATTTGTGCACTAGTTGGGTTGGCAGGTCTGCGCGGGTGTTTGCTGGGAAAGAACTAAGAGCACGTTTACCACACGTAATGGGAATCAAGGGGTCATATTCCAATTACAGATCACTCATGTGTTTACTAAATTTTAAAGAATCAAAATTATGGTGGGATCCATACAAAGTTTGGAATTCAATTCCTCACTTTGGAGGAATTGGATCCCTTGACAATAAGTGGTATTTGAGTTCCAGAAGAATGAGGGAATGGGGAATCCCTTTTTCATACCCATAATGCCCTCACATAATTGCTGAAATTTCAATGATAAAACCAGCACACGTGCCCAACGCTAGTCTGTATCCTTCTCCCTCACTACCGCCCTTTTCCTGTCTTCCCAATGCCACATACCCACCATCATCTTCCTAGACAACAATGACAACCAGAAAACAAGATCAAGCGAAAGCTGAAGAAGAACCCATTTTAGTTATTTCATTTTAACACAATGCTAAAAACCAACATTGGGAACTGAGTGGTTTTTCTTTTTTCTCACCATCACCTCACTACCTCCTTCCGGGGGATGGTAACTGAGGGGTTTTTCTTTTTTTTTTTTTAATTTTTTTACTTTTCTTTTAATATTTAAAAAATATTAAATAATTTTTTTTTAGTTTTTAATAATATAACATTAGATCAAATTCTAAAGATGAGGTACGACATTGTCAATTTTAAAAGATGAGGTATGATATTGTCAATTTTAAAAGATGAGGTATGAAAGTATCGTAATATTAATAAATGAGGTAATTTTTTGTACTTTACCCTTAATTATATCAATTAAGCTTTTGGTGTTTGAACTAGAAAATTAGAAAGAGAGAGACAAGCAATATGGATAGGTATGGTATGCATTGCTTCTGAGGGCGTAAACCTTCAACAACCACAAACTTAGGGGTCACTCATCGTTTGCCCTTCATTGCCCACATGTGGGACCCTCCTCATATATTTCTATTATTAGACCTAACTTATTGGAAGGTCATCAGAAATGTGAATGGATATGATATGACCCTGCTAGTTTTTGAATGGCTTGAAACAAATATCCATTATTCAGTCCTATTCAGTGTTTAAAGTTTCTTAAATACTATTCATATTTTCGTAAAAATATCCAAAAAATTAGGAGAAGATATGAAAATGAGGGGTGAAGTTAACTTCACTTTGTATCGGAGAAATTCTTAAGTTTAGGCTGAAATCAATTAATATCGTTGATATATCTGACCTATCTGTTAAATATCAAAGAAACTCGCACCGATCTTGATGTTCTAAACGTTGTTCCTATCGGAATTGGATCCCTTCTTGAGCAAATGATGGAGATCCTCATGACCCAATAACACAGGCAGTTGGATTTTGATTCAACGGCTACAATTATTATAACTTTTAGAATGACTTCCTGTTTGTAACCGTTGAATCAAAATCCAATGGTCCGTATTAATAGATCATGAGGATCCCCACCATTTACTCAGGAGGGTATCCAATTCCGTTCCTATCCAATCCAGTTAAGAATACTCACAAAACCACTTTTATGATGGAGATTGGAGACAAACATCTAACCGTTTCTAGCCACCCATCCATTTTTTTACTCCCCAATTGGGCCAATTCATTAATTTGCTCTAGTAAATTTCCCCAAGTGTGAGACAGTCCCATACTTTTCTAAGTTACAAAGTGAAGAAAGTGAGATGAAGAAAGTGAAACTCAATAATTTAACCAAAGAGCATTACAAAACTCAAGATTGGTCCAAGAGGAGTTACAAAATGCACGAGCAAGCATCGTCACACCCTAACCCTCTCTTTCTTACCTATGTTGCTTTCATTGACAAATTTATAAAAAGCAACGAAGCGAAAAATAATGTTTTTATTATTGAAGCAAAAGGGACCGTACCCGCGATATAAATCGCAAGAATATGGCCTCCTCACCCTGATGATGATCTCCAACCAAAACGAAACCTGCAAAACAACGAGTTATCTAGCTACTAACTTCTTTTGCTGCTGCAACAACTGCCTCAACGGTGATGCCGTACTCCTTGTATATTTTTCCAGCTGGTGCACTTGCCCCAAATTTGTCTATTCCAATTGCCTTTCCTTTGCTTCCAACAATCTTGTGCCACCCGAATGTTGATCCAGCCTCAAGGCTAACCCTAGCTGTTACTGCAGCCGGCAAGACACTTTCCTTGTAGGCATCTGATTGCTCATCAAAGAGTTCCCAAGAAACAAAGGAGACAACTCTAACAGTCTTCCCTTCCTTTCTGAGCTCATCGCCCGCTTTGGCAACAATTTCCAACTCGGATCCAGTTGCCATCAAAATAACATCTGGCTTGTTACCGGAAGAGTTGTCTGATATTGTGTAGCCTCCCTTCTCGACTCCCTCAATGGAAGTTCCAGGAAGATTGGGCAACTTTTGTCGAGAGAGGGCAAGGATAGATGGTCTCTTCCTGTTAAGGACTGCAACTCTGTAGGCCCCAGCAGTTTCATTCCCATCAGCTGGGCGGAGCATCAAAATGTTGGGCATTGCCCGGAAACTTGCCAAGTGCTCAATCGGTTGATGGGTTGGTCCATCTTCTCCAAGCCCAATTGAATCATGGGTCATAACATAGATAACTCCAGCCTCTGACAAGGCAGAGATCCTTATGGCAGCTCTCATATAGTCGGTGAAAACAAAGAAAGTGGCACAATATGGAATCAGGCCAGAGCTGTGAAGGGCAATCCCGTTGCAGATGGCTCCCATCCCATGCTCTCTTACACCAAACCTTACATTGCGCTCTTCTGGGGTATTCTTCTGGAAGTCTCCAAAACTTTTCAGTAAAGTCATGTTAGAGGAAGCAAGATCTGCACTTCCTCCAATAAGGCCAGGGAGAACCTTCGAAAGGGCATTAAGGTTTGCTTGAGATAAATTTCGGGTAGCATCAGCTGGGGTCTCCGGAGTGTAAGTCTGGAAAATTGCAACCAAGAGACCTTATAAGATGACTTTCATATGCAATCTTAAACGGACACGTTAATATACAAAATTGCTTTATCAAAAAAAAGTTAGTTCCACCACACCCACCCCACCCCCCCCAAAACAACAACTAGACAGCAACCAAATGCAGAGCCCTAAAAAAAGGGGCGTGATATCAATGCCATCCAGAATGTTTTCCTCAACATGTTTGGGCACATTTCCAAATAACTCACATATAAAATATTTAAATAAGCTAAGATGCGCAGTTAAAGACAGTTCTACTCACCGGTAGTGCTTTTTCCCAACCAGCAGGGAGCTCACCCTTAATGATGGAGTTCAGCTCTGCAGCTTCCTCTGCGTACTTCTTCTCATATTCTGCAAACTTGGCATTCCATTCAGCTTCAAGTGCAGCACCTTCAGTGGTATGGCGGCTCCAGTGACTAAGATAAAAACAGACAAGATGATCTGTAACTAATGCTAACAGACTAATTACAGATATAAATTAAAATGGAATGATCCTAACCTTTTAACATCCTCTGGCACATGGAAAGGCTCATATGGCCATCCCAGGTTCTTCCTGGTAGCATCAACTTCCTTGGAACCAAGTGCAGCACCATGAACACTGTATGAATTTGCTTTGTTTGGGGATCCAAAACCAATGGTTGTTGTCACCTAAAAAAATGCAAAGGTTCAACACGACATTGGTTAATATCAAATAAAAAGGAACCCTGGCAAATAGACATGTTCTGGGAAAGGGAAAAAAACACTTTCAGCAGATGATGCCAGAATACAAATTGGATAAACCATATTCCCTTTGAACTCTAAAAGGCATTTTAAATCATCCTAGAAAACAAGTAGCATACCCTCTTACTAAGATTTAATGACAAAATTGTTTGACTTGTTATATAATTACCACAAAATATAGACTTTTTGAGTGAATAAATACACTTAATAGAATAATGATTTTCCATCCTATCACATCCAAATGAACTGTACTCAAAAATCGAAAAAGAATGCAGCATATATCTGACCTTAATCAATGTGGGTTTGTCTGTGACAGCCTTTGCTTCCTTAATGGCAGCTCGAATCTCATCATACCCAGTGTTTCCATTCTTCACCCAGATAACGTGCCACCCAAGACCCTCAAAACGAGTGTCAACACTTTCGGTGAATGCAATCTCAGTGTCTCCATCAATGGAAATGTGGTTGTCATCATAGAAGGCTATCAGCTTCCCAAGTCCCCAATGCCCCGCAAGAGAAGCAGCTTCATTTGAAATACCCTCCATTTGACAACCATCACCCAATATACAATATCTGCATTGAAACAACACCAAAACTGCTAAGCAAAACCGAAGCTAAAGATTTACATCAAAACAGCAGAAGGTAAAAAACAAGTGTTCAAACGTTAAGGTAGCTATCTTACGTGTAGTGGTCAACGATCTCACTGTCTGGTTTGTTGTAACGAGCAGCCAAGTGCTTCTCAGCAAGGGCCAAACCAACAGCATTTGCAATACCCTGCCCCAAAGGACCTGCATAACATGAAAATAATCATAAGAATACCAGCTGAAGCTATTAAGTGTTTTCTTTTAATAAGAGTAATCAAATTAACCATCAAAATCAGAACTACTTAATAAAAACCTAACCGGTTGTGACTTCAACACCGGGTGTCTCAAAGTTCTCAGGGTGTCCAGGGGTCTTGCTTCCCCATTGACGGAAACTCTTCAAATCTTCCTCCTACTCGTGGATTTAAAATTCAAATCACCAGTTCACAGCCAACATTCAGTCAATTATATGAAATCATTAAGATCATTAACAAAGCTAACGATAATCATACACTCATTCAGTAAAAGCAGAAGGAAATGCTAAACATACATGCAGTAAAACAAACTTGCAGAACCAAATATAGTGTATGTGTGTATAGAGAGAGAAAGCTAGAGAGAGAGAGAGTATCAGAAA